CGCACTGCTGAAGCAATGGAAATGTCTAGGAGCTCAACGTGGACATTTCGATGCTGACAAATCAACATAAGGAAGGAGAGGTTAATACTAGAGCTTCTCCATAATGTACGTCATGCGGTGAGGATATCACCAGCATAGAGACTTTGGTGAGATACGTGTCGGTGGAGGCGAGAAGGTTTCTGGAGGAGCTGTGACGGCTGATGACCTCGAACGGACGTTGTGTGTGGTGAAGGCCGCTTTAGCTGAGAGGAAGTGCGTGAGTGAATTTCCTTGATGAAACTCTTGTTGGTTTTGTACCCTTCTACGGCGAGTCGTTGGTTAATTTCTATAATATAATGAGGAAACCAAAAATATTTTCTAACACTACTTTGGACTGGAGAAAAAGTCCGTAATTTAGTCAGCTTCGACGAGGGTGGTCCGGAGGGCTGATTCTGGAGCGTCTTGGTAGGGTGTGAGAAAATACGCGCATGATCAACTGCATGTGTCGGTGACAGTATGAAAATTTTGAGGGAATTTTTATTGGTTCTTGTAGACTTGTATAATTAGTGAGGAAACTCTCAAGCTTAGCATTTCGAGAGTGCCCTGTGGTGGTACGAAGGCACGTTGTGTGTTTTCATAGGCGCGCAATGGATCTCCGTCTCAATCTTGAAGCTAGAGAGCAGCACTTGAGACTACTACGCGAGGAGATGAGGAAAGCGAGGCCTCAGGAGGTAGGCGTCTGAGGTCGCGCGTACCAGTGTGATATAATGTGCACATGGTCAGAGAAATTCGGGGAAATTTTGGTATTTTTTCTATCTGAGGTCGTACGTAAACCTCCATAATTAGTGAGGAAACTCCCGAGCTCAGCTGAGGAAAGTGAAAATATGTATTCCAAATCGGATCTCAGGAGTTGAGCTTCTGACAATTTCAAAGGTTTCCAGTTCAGATAAGAAGCGAGATAGATCATGCGAGTCGTGAAGCAAGCCGGTCGGTGGAGCAGGTGGGCATACCTCTGCTGGGGTGAAGGCTGCCGGTTTCGGTATTCGCAGTCGATTTCGTACGTGCAGTTTTGAGAATTAACGTTCCCTAGAGCTTGATAACAACGGGGAAATGTTACTAATGTGATGATGATATTCACATGGGAAACGATGATTGAAGAATGTGTTACTAGCCATCCGTGGAAAAATTACAATGAGCTCCCCCCGGGGACATTATAGGTTTGTGGATGATCCGCTGCTCGAGGTGCCTGCCTGTTAGGTTTTTCATGCGGCTTTCGCTGATGGTGATGATGATGCTGTTACTAAAGAGGCGTTTGAAGTGGAGATGGAGTATGCGAGATTAGAACGCGAAAAGGTAGAGTTGCGAAGGTGTTTTTTTCCATGTGAATTATGATGCTGAGAATCGTCATCAAGCTTGGTAAAATTTCCGAACATAGTGTTGCCCAGTTGGAGGTCCAAGGTCGGCTCACACAGCTTGCGTCCGAGCACTATGCTATGCGATTGGAGGCGGAAGTGTTGGGGACGCAGACCGAGCGTGACAATAGGGAAAAACAGGAAATTCAGAAAGAGGTGAGTTTCT